AACCACATCGCTATGTCTGAAGAACGTAAGAACCAATTTAGGCAGGAAACGTATAATGACCCACAATTAAGTATGGTTTTGGGATTCATTGCCAATGGATGGCCAACCCAAAAATATTAAATCCCTGAAAGTGTTCGTCATTTTGCAAAGCTTAAAGACAATCTATTTGTGTCAGAAGATCTCATATGCTTAGAACACAAACTAGTAGTGCCGCAATCATTGAGAAATGAAATGCTAAAATTATTGCATAAGGGACACTTGGGCATTGAAAAAACCAAAGCGCGAGCCCGTAACATTTTTTTTGGCCGGGATTGGCAATGGGTGTTGAGTCATTTGTTGGGTCGTGTAAATCATGCGAAAAATATGCCAGAAGAAACCCTAAACAGACTCTATCATCTTATCCCTCGTCAAGTAGACCATGGGAACGCTTGTAAGAGTTATGTTATTTTGTTTGATGACTTCTCGAATTGGTTAGAGCTCTTACCTATCAAGGATAAGAGTGCTGATGAACAGATTAAGACAGTATTTTCCTGATTTGGATCCTCAGATTTTCTAGTATGTGATAATGTCCCCTTCAACATTGACAAATTCAAAATGTTTAGCAAAGATTGGAACTTTAGTCTTATATTTCGGAGCCCATACTACCCCAAGAGCGGTTTAAAGGGGAGGGGTAGAGGGAGTAATTACCCCTCCCCCAGACAAAGAATTTTTCTATACATTTATTAATTACCTACAACAAAATTTCAAAAAAATTCTACAAAGTAAAGCATCAAAGGCATCTTATAAATATGTTAGGCTCACCAGTGCCGACGTACCTACTACTATACAGTGAGATAGAGGGTATTCCATTTGAAAAAAATTAGCTATGATTGTCTGAAATGTCTGGTTTTATGTACAGTATTGCGAACACCCTGTAGTATGTAACCAGATTTTCATAGGACCATGAAAGGTGATTCCTAACAAAAAACAAAAGGTATGTAGGGTTTTTAGAACGATCCATTAATGTACTGAAATATAGGGTGTTCCATTTAAAAATAAATTTCTGGCGCATACGCCATTTACGAAGCACCCTGTATATTTACACCCTATAACCATTTTGACGGCATCGGGATACATTTTTGCCCGAAGCGTGTTTTTTAAACGTCTTTCGGGTGCAAATTTGGGCGTGGTACCCCAAAAAAAATTTCACCTCCGGCGGTACGTTGTGACACTTGATGTTGGAACCAAACATTTTTACACCAGACTCCACAGAGGAACTATAGAGATACAAAAACACCACAACAACTTCAACAGAAAAGAAGAAGACATGAACCTCAACAAAAGCTGGTTGCCAGTTCTCCGAAAAACAAAGATAGGTCTATAAACCTAGCAGTCCCAAGGTGACTGGTGGCCTCTAATTAAAAATTAGGTGCTCCTTTAGTTTTTGAGAAAATTAAAAAAAACTAAGGGACTGCTAGGTTTATAAAAGCTAGCAGTCCCTTATAGTAAAAAATATTTATTTCAAATTTTTTCTTTGTATCAGAATTAGGTGCTTTTTAGGTGCTCCTAAATAGTCGAAGAAAAAATAGAATTGATTAATTATTAACTAAGTTTCAGATTTTTTTTTAATTATTAGGGGACTTCTGGCTTTACGTTTACATGTTGGTGTGTCAGAATTAAAAAAAATTTCGGGATCTATATAATAATTAGGTGCTTTTTAGGTGCTAATTAGGGCGTCTAATTAAAAATTAGGTGCTCCTTTAGTTTTTGAGCAAAATCAAAAAAAATTAAGGGATTGTTAGGTTTATGAAAGCTTGTAGTCCCCTATAGTAAAAACTATTTTTCTAATATTTTCTTTTGTATCAGAATTAGGTGGTTTTTAGGTGGTCCTAAATGGTCGATGAAAAAATTGAAGCGATTGATTATTAACTGAGTTACAGATTTTTTTTTTCATTATTTGGGGACTGCTGGCTTTACGTTTACTAGTGGTGTGTCAGAATGGAAAAAACCTTCGAAATTTTTATAATCATTAGGTGCTTTTTAGGTGCTTATCAGGGATTCTAATCAAAAATTAGGTGCTCCTTTTTTTTGATGCTCATTCAAAACTTGTTTACAGCGTTGCCAAAGTCCTTTTAGTTTATGAAATACAGGGCGATTTATAAAAAAGGCCTAAAATTATTTCGTCAATTATTTTGAAAACTATTGATATTCGGGACACAATTTAAATTTGAAACTTTTATAATTTTTTTCGCTCTACAACATGGCATCTTCAAATTTTAAATCCGACGCTTCGCGATCGAGATACCATCATCAACTTCATTTTTTTAAATACGGACCTGGATTTTTTATGTCATTATTGGAAAGAGAATTAAGAGCGCTTCCTAAAAAATGACATAAAAAATCCAGGTCCGTATTTAAAAAAATTAAGTTGATGATGGTATCTCGATCACGAAACGTCGGATTTAAAATTTGAAGATGTCATGTTGTAGAGCGGAAAAAATTATAAAACTTTCAAATTTAAATTGTGTCTCAAAAATCAATAGTTTTCGAAATAAATAATGAAATATTTTTGCCCGTTTCTTAGAAATCACCCCGTATTTCATAAACTAAAAGAAATTTGGCAACACTGTAAACGAGTCTTGAATGGGCATCAAACAAGGCAACTTTTTTCTAATTTAACCGACCCTGTAGCTCTTACCGTTTCGGATATAGCAATAGTGGTATCACTTAAAATATACACCCTGTATTACTATAGGGGACTGCTAGCACTAGTATTCATGAACCTAGTTTTTCTTGATTTTCTCAAAAACTAAAGGAGCACCTAATTTTCAATTAGAGGCCCTAATTAGCACCTAAAAAGCACGTAACTATTAAATAGATCCCGAAGTTTTTTTCCATTCTGACACACCAACAAGTAAAGCTAGCAGTCCCCTAATAATGGCCGCGTTCACCAGATACAAACTTTGGTAAACGGTTTGCGATTGTTCTGCTGAACGCTACGTTGAATTTGTGTTAAAACCAAACATGTTTTGCAAACGGTCGCTTCTGATACAAAAGAAAATTTTGGAAAAATATTTTTCACTATAGGGGACTACTAGCTTTCATAAACCTAGCAATCCCTTAGTTTTTTTTGATTTTCTCAAAAACTAGAGGAGCACCTAATTTTTAATTACAGGCCCTAATTAGCACCTAAAAAACACCTAATTATTATACCGGGTGCCCACGAAATTACTTTCCGGCTGCCATTTTTTTATTTGTTCATCGATGTCAACGAAACTTGGTAGGCTTGATATTCTAACGAAACGCCATTTTTATGCATCCACGACAAGTTTTCCTGACTTCCGGTTTCACCGGAAATTACCGAAACTTTCGATTTTCAAATGGTACACCCTGTATGTTTTTTGTTTTTTGGATTCTATAGATCGTTTTACGTCCTAATGTACCACTTTTAAATCGAGTTTTGCCCAAATTTCGTTTTCAAATTAAATTTTAAGTAGAAAAAAAAAATTACCTACATAATAAAACGAAAATATTTGAAAAATGTCGTAGTGTATTATATCGTTGGATTTGCTTCAAAATACTGCATTTAGGAATGTTATGAAAGTGATATGTCTCTATTCTAGTTTTTGAGCTAGGGCAAAAATACTAAAATATTGAAGTTTACAGCCCTCTATCAAAAAAGTTTACAAAGATAAAATTGAGTTTGTATTTTTCTGAAATAAAGTAAAGTATAAAGAGTCATTTTAGGATGATCATGGCACTCTAGTTATAAAATTAAAATTTAATTTAAAAACAAAATTTGGACAAAATTCGATTCAAAAGTGGTGCATTAGGACGTAAAACGATCTGTAGAATCCGAAAAACCAAAAATATACAGGGTGTGCCATTTAAAAATCAAAAGTTCCGGTCATTTTCGGTGAAACCGGAGGTTAGAAAAACTTGTCATAAATGCATAAAAATGGCATTTGGTTAGAATATCAAGCCTACCAAGTTTCGTTGATATCGATGGACAAATAAAAAAATGGCAGCCGGAAAGTGATCCCGTGGGCACCCGGTATAGATCCCGAAGTTTTTTTGCCATTCTGACACACCAACATGTAAACGTAAAGCCAGCAGTCTCCTAATAATTGAAAATAAATCTGTAACTCAGTTAATAATTAATCAATTCTATTTTTTCTTCGACTATTTAAGACCACCTAAAAAGCACCTAATTAAATTTTAGAAAAATATTTTTCACTATAGGGGACTACTAGCTTTCATAATTTTTTTTTTTTTTTAATAGCAGTCCTCTAGTTTTTTTTTGATTTTCTCAAAAACTAAAGGAGCACCTAATTTTTAATTAGAGGCCCTAATTAGCACCTAAAAAGCACCTAATTATTATATAGTTCCCGAAGTTTTTTTCCACTTTGGGACTGCTAGGTTTATAGACCTAACAAAGACCCTTCCTTTCCGAGAACGAGACAAGGAAAATAGCGTAATACAAGTTACGCCCACAACCCTGGATATAAATAATGCAGGTCCAACAACTTCGGATCCAGTCATCGGAGGAACATGGAAGAGAACACTTCGTCCTCTTCCACACCGCCTCTGAAGATGTCTACCAGAGCAGTAGATGAAACGTTAGGTACAAATACTAATGAACCCCAGCATTATAGCCCGGAAAAAAACTTTTTTACTATATTTGACCGGCCGTGAAAGCCTTCATTCTCTACTCAATATTGTATGAGAATCGAAAATCAGCTGCCACTTCTCTATTAGAAAAGACCGATGAAGATGTTACTATAATTTCCTTTAAAAAACGACTACACAAGAAAAGATAATTCAACAGAACTAACTAATATCTGTAAGTATTGACTAGTAAAATGAAAGATCAAGTTCATATAAGTATTAATAACCGACAAAACTTTACGATACTCTTCGTTAACTCGTGGTACAACTTCAGTTTTCTTGATAATTGACTTTTGAAACAAATTGCCAAACATTTAAATGGCAGTTTCATATATAGATGGAGAAGTTCTTACCAGGCATACAGACGCATCTAAAAGTACCAGGATCGTCCAAACAAGACCCGTCATTGTGACAGGGATGGGATTCGCACTCGTTCACATTGGTTTCGCATCTCGGTCCTGTAAAACCCTGGGTGCAATTGCAAGCAAACGAACCCGGTGTATTAACGCAGATTCCATCGTGTTCACAAGGAGAACCTGAAATAATTAATTAGTTCGTTATTTGTTCAGTGTTCGTGCATGAATGATTTTGCTATTCACGGTAAAGATCGATTCCTATACTTATAGGTAAAAAATTGATTAATTTCTGCTTTGTAGAGTGGCCGGCTTTTGTTTGCATAACGAATCTTCAAGATTAAAGGCTTATAGTGAACTTTTATTACTCTATATAAATAGAACCAGTCAAGAAAAATCCAACAAGTGCTTTGAATTAATTTCAAATTAATTGTTTGTTTGGTTTTATGTCATAATTTTTAAGTAGGTACCTACATAAATTTAAAAATTATAAAGAGGGCCTCTTTTGTGAGCTTAAAAGGACCCACTCTCCGGTACTTTCCATGTGAAACGCGGTTAGTTGCACAGCTTGATGCTAATTGGTATAAATTAACGATTATTTTTAAGGCTAATGAAGAGAAGGTTTTGTGTGTTCGATATCAATGTAATGTAACACACACAGTAGTTTAAAGGGAGCTTGGGAAAGTTGTCTCAAACTTCACATATGCAAAAAAAAAAAAAATAATTAGATCATCTTGACGAATAATTGGCGGCCCACAAAGATCTTTAATTGGGTCTTAATTGACCCACAGAGGTCGATTTGTTTAATTGGCGATCGGTTGTCAATTTATTTCCCATGGAATCGTAAAATTCTTACCTTGTTCGCATTCGTTTATATCCTCAGAACAATCCACTCCTTTGTATCCAGAGGCACAGCTACAAGTATAGGAACCATTTATTGGACTGGTATCGCAAATGGCGTCAGCGTGGCAAGGGTTACTAGTACAAGCATCATCCAAATGGCACAGAAGACCTGAAATTATTTTAAGTAGACCATTACTTGAGGTTTCCGTTAGAACGAATTATTATTTTATAAACAAAAAATAGAATAATTTCTCTTTTACGGCCATTGATTATTTTTCAGTTGGTGTTTATGGGAGCTTAAGAGATTCAGGAGTAATAATAGGCAAATTGGATTTTTTTTTTCTGCTTTTCAGAGTTACTGTTAGATTTTACTTGATAATAAATGGCCTGATGCTTTGTTGGAAGCGTAATTGTAATTTTTTGGCTATTAACTATACTATACAGTGTAATTTGGAGATTCTTTTTGAAGAAAATTTCTTGTCTTGTAACAAAATGTTCACTCTTTGATACAAATTATAATACTTCTAACAGAATTGAAATTAATTCATCAGGGCCCAAAACAAACAAAAAAACACATGGGTACGTATTCCCATTATTAGTATGCTTTCCCTATGGGGTATTGTCCTAATACAGAAAGGTTTTACTCGGAAAATAACCAATTGTGGTCTGAGAAAAATTTCCAGACCCGAGCCCATAAAATACACCCAGCGTACAACGGAGTACAAATCGACAGTGCATTGATAGGAACACGTTCGACGATAAAATAAATGCATTGAAGTGTCCGCGCGAGGTCGTTTTTGTTATGCAAAATGGCAAAACCCATGGGATTATATTATGGGACGGTGTGCGGAAAATTCTGGTGAACTTTTTGTATGTGTTGGAAGTTTAAATTTTTCAATAATCGGTTAGCGTGCGGCAACGTGAATTTCGGGTTGTCTTAACGATGTTTTAATTGCATTTGCATTGAAGTGCGGTTGGATGCAATAATTATATGCAAGAAGAACCCAATTTTATAGTGATGCCGTGAACCGTTAAAAGAAATTACACTTACGTACGTCTTGGTTCGACATTATTTAATTCCGTTTTGAGGCAAGACGAAACTGGACTAAATGAAACCGTTATTTTTTGGATCAAAATGGTACTAAGCTCAATGAATCGTTTTTCCTTGTACCATCAATATTCTTTCAATTGTGTTAGATTGAATTTGTATACGAGACAGCTCAATTTATGGCTCCTACACAATATACAGTGACGCCGTAAAACGAGATTAAAATTGGATTCTAGACCGTATCATTATAATACAAAACGAGACTAAAAACCAAACTCCATACTTATTGTAATCTTTCCTTATACATGCTGTTCTTCATGGTAGTGAATAATTTATTATTATCATTACATTATTAAAACCTAACATTTTCGAACAGATGACTACAGAAAAATAAAAGAGCGCTTAAGAACATTTCTGATAACTTCTAGAACGTTCCAGCGCTTCAGAATCATTAGGGGAAATAGTAGGCTTTGGAAATATCTATTGCTATGTCGGTGTTACAGGGTCCTTATTCTTGAAACAAGGGAGCAGCGTTCCCAGGAAAACGAGGGTTCCGTCTTTCTCAATGATAAAGACGGACTCTCGTTTTCCTGGGAACGCTGCTTCTCTGTTTCAAGAACCCCAGAGGGCTGGAACTCTGTAACGGATAGAGATCGTTATCCCTATCGCTATGGCACTTGCTGTCTTCTTCTCTCTTGTCGAAATCAATAGAGAGGAGACGTCAATAGAGATATAGAGAGAAGATCTCTATTTGTTACAGAAATGTCGTTTTTATTACTGGCTCTTGAATTTTCTTTATTTGAAGACATTTAGGACTTAGGGCCAAATTATGGACTGACTGGTAAACGTCTGATTGTTACTTAGTAGGTACGTACTTTCTATGCTCTAGAAAGTACCTGCTAGGTAACAATCAGACACTTACCAGTTGGTCCATAATTTGGCCCTTAGAGGGGATTCAAGAGCCGGTAATAGACAAAAATTGAGACGAGTACAGAACAAATGTCTTTTTATCTCTTTCTTATACAAGCTAGTAGCATAAGACACGATTACACTCGTTGCGCACTAACCCTTCCAATAGAATTCGCTATAAGTAGGCTTTGGGAATATCTATCACCATACCTAAAGTTGCTTAAAACGAGGTTGCCTGACAACATTTATGACATCATCAGAATGCCTCAACATAATGCAAATCTCCATAAGGCATTCCAGATGCATCAGCAAATTGCCTAACAACCTATGAACTTTAAGAACCTTGTGCAATGTCGGAATTACAGTGGTCTTGTTTGGGCGCCAAATTCAAACTAAAGCCTACTTTAACACTTGTCAAACTGTCGTGTTGCTACATCGACAACAATTAACAGCATTGCCAACTTAAAGAAATGTCGTTTTTATTACAGGCTCTTGAATTTTTTTTGTTTGAAACCATTTAGAGGAAATTCAAAAGCCGATAATAGACAAAAATTGAAACGAGTGCAAAACAAATGTATTTTCCTCCTTCTTATACAAGCTGGTTAAAAAAAGACGCGAATACACTCGGTGCGCACTCATGTCGGTATTACAGGTGTCTTGTCTGGGCGCCAAATTCAAACTTAGAAATTCTTCAAAGCCTACTTTGTCGCTTGACAAATTGTCGTGTTGCTACATCGACATTGATTAACAACGTTGCCAACTTAGAGAAATTTTGTTTTTATACAGGCTCTTGAATTTTTTTGTTTAAAGACATTTAGAGGAAATTCAAGAGCCGGTAATCATATACCTATTATACTGACGTAGATATATCGCACCTTTTCTATTCACCTAATGTGCGGATTTTGGAGCAAAAAAAGAGAGATAGAGATATATGATCTCGCATAAGTCTATCTTTGTCAAACGAAGTAGAACGAGATTATCAACTGCGCATGCTTTAAATGACAGATTCTTATTTGGTTGGTATTTTGTAAAGTGCTTTTTGTGCAGTGTTGTCATATCAAGTTGAGGATATTATGCGTCATTTTGACTTGCTGCGTTTTCCTGGTGGTTTCTTCAATAATTTTTTTTATGATAGGCAACCCTGCACTATCAGCTACTTAAGCTGGGTTCGGCTGTTCAGCGCGGAGTTGAAGTGGAGTAAGAACAGAGCTAATGGAGTCACTCCAATACGGTGAAAAGCAATACCCGAACCTTAATCCGAACGGCTGCAGTGCGAATGGAGTCACTCGGAGTGAGCAAGCCGAACCCGCCTTTAGAATTGATGCTTATTGATGGAATAATTTCATTAGACGCATGCGCATTAGAAAACGAAATTCTCCCTAGACAAAGACGGCATACTTTCATCTCATATTGTTTGCGTCATCAGCTCGAAACAACCCACGATATACCTCAGTATAATAGGTATATGCCGGTAATCGGTAATACAGAAAAATTGAGACGGGTGCAGATTTAAGTCTTTTCATCTCTTTCTTATACAAGCTGGTAGAAAAAGACACGATTACACTCGGTGCGCACTAACCCTTCCAATAGAATTCGCTATTAGTAGGCTTTGAAAATATCTATTGCCATGTCGGTATTACAGGTGTCTTGTTTTGGCGCCAAATTCAAACTTTGAAATTTTCCAAAGCCTACTTTATCGCTTGTCAACCTGTCATATTGCTACATCGACATTGGTTAACAGCGTTGCCAACTTAAAGAAATGTCGTTTTTATTACAAGGTTTTGAATTTTCTTTGTTTGAAGACATTTAGAGGAGTTTCAAGAGCCGGTTATAGACAAAAATTGAGACGAGTGCAAAACAAATGTCTTTTCATCTCTTTCTTACATAAGCTGATAGAAAAGGACACGATTACACTCGGTGCGCACTAACCTTTCCAATAGAATTCGCTATTAGTAGGCTTTGAAAATATCTATTGCCATGTCGATATTACAGGTGTTTTGTTTTGGCGCCAAATTCAAACTTTGAAATTTTCCAAAGCCTACTTTATCGCTTGTCAAACTGTCATATTGCTATATCGACATTGGTTAACAGCGTTATTAACTTGAAGAAATGTCGTTTTTATTACAGAATCTTGAGGAGATTCAAGAGCCGATAATAGACACAAATTGAGACGAGTACAGAACAAATGTCTTTTTATCTCTTTTTTATACAAGCTGGTAGAAAAAGACACGAAAATACTCGGTGCTCGCTAAGGCTGAAGACACAATGACAAATACAAGGTACAAGAGACAGATACAAAATACCAGAAAATCGAAATTTTGTATCGTGGGATGGCAAGTAAATTGTATCCTGTATCCATTTTTTCTGGGTTATAGCAATGATACACTTGTTATTATATTTTCTTTCTTGTCACTTGTCACTTGTATCTTGTATTTGCCCTTGTGTCTTCAGTCTAACTCTTCCAATAGAATTCGCTATTAGTAGGCTTTGGAAATATCTATTGCCATGTCGGTATTATAGGTGTCTTGTTTAGGCGCCAAATTCAAATTTTGAAATTTTCCAAAGCCTACTTTGTAGCTTGTCAAACTGTCGTGTTGCCACATCGACATCGATTAACAACGTTGCCAACTTAAAGAAATGTTGTTTTTATTACAAGCTCTTGAATTTTCATTGTTTGAAGACATTTAGAGGAGATTCAAGAGCCGGTAATAGATACAAATTGAAATGAGTGCAGAACAAATGTCTTTTTATCTTTTTCTTATACAAGCTGGTAACAAAAGACACGAATACCCTCGGTGCGCACTAATCTCACAACAGTGAGTAAGTTTCTTTTCTTAAATTTTTGAATTTTTCTCTTCAAAAATTTAGCTCCCAAGACGACGAAGAGGGGCGGCAACCGGTCTGTTCTCACAAGAGTCTTTGACAGTTTGCAAACTCTCAGAAATTATCTCTTATGTAACATACGCGATTCTCCCTGACTGTCAAAGACTCTTGAAGAAACAGACTTGTTCAATAGGAGTGATATAACAATGTTGGCTGTAGAAAATTCTTACCAGTTTTCCCAGGCGTACATCTACAGTAAAAACTACCAACTCGATCGATACACGTGGCGCCGTTAAAGCAAGCGGCGCCCGCGCAATCGTCGATGTTGGCGCTGCAGTCGGGTCCGTTCCAGCCGTTGACGCAAATGCAGGAAAACCCGCCGACGCTGTTCGTACAAGTGGCGCCGTTCTGACAGACCGACGGCCGGAGGGCGCACTCGTCCACGTCCTGTTCGCAATATTTTCCGGTGTACGTCAACGGACATTGACAGGTGTAGCTGTCGACTCCGTCGACGCAAGTGGCGCCGTTCTGACACTGGTGGCCCGGACAATCGTCGACGTTCTCTTCGCAATTTGGACCTCGGAAACCTGAAACAATTTCGAATAATAATTAATGAACTGTAACGATTTTCTTTTCTGAATGATAAGGGACTTGCTATCATAAGCTCAACCATGCAGTTGTAGTTGAATCAAAGTGTGAACCGGCCTTTAGTCATCAATGTAAACTTGAAAGAGGAGTGAAAAGTGTGTAATCGTGACGTGACTCACAGATTTTTATTAGCGCAGGTAGGAAGAGGACAGGTAGATTTCAATGACATATTAACACAATAGACATAATACAAAATTTCATGTCGCCAAAATTTAGGAAAATGATTCACCTCCGATGTATCCCCTCCAATTAGGTTGCCCTGCAATCGAATGACGAATATCAACGCCCCCATCAAACATATATCATATGAGTTAGAAGTTGATAGATAAAGGATTTGCACCAGTGCGCATTTGTTCATTATTTTGAATAATGACGAGTTCAGAAAGATAGATGGGTCTTACACCTCTGATGCATCCCCACCATGACCCCCCTCGAGCAGCTCACCTCTCCTTGCCCATGAGGGGACTTGTCATCAGGGTCCTTATTCTTGAAATAGAGAAGCAACGTTCTTCGTCGCCTATATTCATATATTCTGCGTACAACTGACAAATACAGAGCAATCGTTCTCATGAAAACACGATTCCCCAGTTTCGAGCATAGACATTCAGAACAAACATCAGTTTATACAGAAGATTTATCTGTGTTAAAATATCATTGATTATTGTTACTACGAGTTTGTTCGTATGCCATTTGGTCTCAAAAACGCCCCATCAACATTTCAGGTGGAGAATGTTGTTTGTTTTACTTTAAAGAACGGTATAACGATTAGGTACCCTATGGATTGGATTCGTCACAAATATCGAAAAAATACAATTTGTGAGGGTCTTGCTATCAGGGTCCTTATTCTCAGAATAGGGTAGCAGCGTTCTTATGAGAATGAAGATTCTTTTCTTCGTCGCTCATATTCATATTTCTATAACATTGACAAAGACAAAGCAATTGTTTTCATGAGAACATGGTTCCCCGGTTTTGAACATAGACATTCAGAATAAACATCAGTTTATACATAAGATCTATCTGTGTTAAGATATCATTGACTATTGTCATTACGAGTTTGTTCGTATGCCATTTGGTCTCAAAAACGCCCCATCAACATTTCAGGTAGAGAACGTTGTTTGTTTTACTTTAAAGAACGGTATAAGGATTACCCTATGGATTGGATTCGTCACAAATATCAGAAAGAAACAATTTATGGGGGTCTTGTCATTAGGGGTCTTATTCTCGAAATAGGGGAGCTGCGTTCTTATGAGAACGAAGGTTCTTTTCTTCGTCGCTCATATTCATATTTCCATAACATTGATAAAGACAAAGCAATCGTTTTCATGAGAAGATGGTTCTCCGGTTTCGAGCATAGACATTCAGAACAAACATCAGTTTATGCATAAGATCTACAGGTCCCGCAAAATAAGGTGGCGAAAAAGCGATTTGCGCAGTAGACAAAATTCAGAAATGGTAGGGGCGTAAACTGAACTGTAAACCCTATCCTTGGTAAACGGATGGGGAGCAGTGGCGTGTAGGTACAATATGATAATTTATTTGTAATGTCAATATCTTCATACCATTTAGCGACGCCCCTTAAATGGTTTGTATTTTAGCTTTGCCTTGGCCAAAAAAAGGGACCCACGGCCCACAATCTTCCCCGGTTTCAAGCATAGACATTCAGAACAAACATCAGTTTATGCATAAGATCTATCTGTGTTAAGATATCAATGATTATTGTCATTACGAGTTTGTTCATATGCCATTTGGTCTCAAAAACGCCCCATCAACATTTCAGGTAGAGAACTTTGTCTCACTTTAAAGAACGGTAAAACGATGGATTAAATTCGTCACAAATATCAAAATTTGTTTAAACCACAATCTTTGAGAAGTAAATTCCACCTATATGTGAATGATCGAAAGCTCCACCATTCTTCTGTCAATAAATGGGCAATTGCCGGGCATAAAAACCGAGTCGATTATCTCGAGGCAATTTAATAAAGGCATTATTGTTTGCGATGAAATATTCTCGCTGATGATTTAATGGTTCCAAGTACCGTTTCTGGGTACTCATTTGTCAAAATTAGTCTTTGAATAGGCGAAACGCGCGGTAAGATTGCGAGAAAAAAAAAACTTATCGCAGTCATTTTAATGACGATCGCAGAAAGTTAAGCTTCAACGAATACGATAAGCAAAGGTATTCAAATTCACAACCAGTTCTTTGGCCAAAAGATTTTTTTTATTTAAAATTAACGTTAATGCCCTCGAAAGTACTGAAAGAACCGAACAGGCCGGGTTTATTAATGACTGGATTTTATGGAGTTTACTTTGCATACTATTAAGTAATTGAGGCTCATTAAGTGGCGTGTATTAATAACCGAGGCGACATTGTTACTTAAATCAGGCCGATTATAAGACATATTTTTTACATTAAGCTACTCACTACTGGATTTAGGTTTTAAGATAAGCAACCAAATCCCTGATAAAAGATGTCACCACTCGTCTATTTTTTAAAAGGTTCTCATATTTCGGTTTATAGATAAGCTACTATTCAAATATAAAAAAGTAGAAGTTACCTTATACGATTACATTCTTGATGTTCATCTTCAGCCTTATATTGTTTTAAACGATGCCGCCTGGTGCATGACATACTTTTAATGCGAAATACAAGAATTCTTAAAATGCCTTATCGTTTCTATAAAACCGTTTTTCATTTTATAACGTGATTTTCTTACAATACTGGAGTATAGGCATAGCGAAACGTGGGAGGAAGTTACCTGTTTGTATGTAAATGCCATAATTTTTCATTAACTCTTGATGTTTCATAATAATCATTACGGTAAGTAGATATTATAGTGCAATTGTTTGGTACGTGATACAAATTATAAAGTTAATCGTTTTTCTCATCTTATACCGAGTCCCGATTTATTTCCTAATGATATTCTAAAATAGCAATAATAACGAACCGTTTCGTAATATAATTGAATCGAGAAACAATTTCGTTTGTCGATTTTTAACATGTAATTGACTGGGAAACCTTGGCATTACAACCCTGATGAGAGAGAATATGAGTGTAATGAAGATTTCTTCTGTTATACATTATGAGTAAATAAACATCATACTTTAAGGGACCCAATAAGGCCGGTAATAATCAAAATTTGAAGTGAGTGTTAGAAGATAGATGGCGCAAACTGTTAACGACAGATGACGATTGACTAGGAGGGGCTTAAAAGTGGAGTGGTGGGGATTGTCTGAACATCTCAACACCTACTAATGTTGGAAATTGAATACAAATCAACGTGTGATAGTTTTTTCCAATTGGTCTTAATATAAAATGTATAATTATGGATTCTAACTATTAATTTCGGTTCTTGTTCTCAAGTTGTTGAAGAAATTGAGAAGCATTCGGCATTATTCAAGGAATCTGAGAAAATTCAGAAGAATTCCAAGGAAATAATATTCATCAGACATTGAAGAAACTTGAACTCATCATATGATTTTTGGGAAAAATAAGCCAATAAAAGTTTTCCTCAATTGAAGCTGTATCATTAATGATCCAGTGGAAGCGATTTCAATAGAGTTCTCAACGTCACGAGATTCAAAAATATCTTAATTTCCCCCGATAAACAAAAATCCGATTAATGCGGTGCATAAATTCATATAAGGCGTTCCTGAATTGATCGTTTCAATTAGAAAATACCGCAAAAAACATTTTTCACACGAGAAGCCGGTCGCGTTTTCTCTTACTGGGCAACATTCATATTTTACGACCAGAGGACCAGTTTTCGAGTCGAGGTTTTCGTAATTTACTTGTCCAACTGATGCTCAATGCATATTGGAATTTAATTTAAATTTCACCCAGAAAAAAAGATACCAAAAACCCATATGGTCAACATGCTTCAATTAAAAATCAATAATAGAATTTTATTGATCGGTAAATTTCAAATTACGACCAAAAACGTTGGAAAACCGGCAGCCGCTTAACATCCGCTTTTGGATTTAAGCCTTTTCGAGTAGAGGTACTACCCAGTTTTTCCACTCACAAGCACAAGACGTACCTATATACAATAATATACGATATATTTTATCGCAACTGTGCGTGCATACCATATTCAGAAAATAAAAGGGATTACGATTTTTTTAGTTATCGTATCGTACCAACTTGTGACTCGGTACCAATCGAAATCGTTAACTAACACCGATTTAAATAAAGGTCCAGTTACGCGGTTCATTGATATTCAAAACGAGATCCATGACTCCCGATGACCCAATTTTTGATTATAGTACTGCCGGGTTAATGAGCTTGGGCAATTTTGGCAACATTGCATTGTAGTACCAGCAACAACAACAACAATGCAGATATGAATTATTCTCGCTTCTGGGTTGAAATTCTACAACTCTCCGGCGTGGTACTATCGAATATCGTCACGACTGACTATAAGACATCCGTACCGCGGTACTACACACACACACAGTACCGACAATAATAATTTAAAAAAAAAGTTGATATTTTACATGAACGGTACACGACAGTATTATGTAAAGTCCGCGTCCATTTTGATTTGGTTTTTGTATTAAATATTAATAATCTCAGAATAAGAGAGTATTGTGTGGTACCATTACGGTTACGGGTCCCGATCCGCTCGGGGGCCCTATAGTTAGGCCGCGGTACTCGTGGTGCCCCCGGGGGGTTCCCGCGACGACCGACGATCGTACTGCCTCTCGATCTCGGGCCGGTTCTCCCACATAAGAGTACCACCCGAGGCTCGACACGTCTGTTTTTTTTTTCTTCACAAAATGGGTGGGTACCGCAGCTCTTGCTCAAAATACCAAAAATAATATTACGTGTGAATATTTTTATCAATTATCCAAATATAGTCTACTATCGCTTTTGAAACAAAACGATTTGTTCCCACGGTATAAAAGAATAGTACCAAACTAGCACTGTCAACCTACACAGTTTAGTATCGCCTGGCTTATCAATATACGGCAGCTCCAGATAGTTTTGCGGTTTTTGTTTGTTTCCTGGACAACCTTCCTCATCGATTATTATTAAATTTGTCTCTCACGAGGCATAGGATAAAAAGACTCACACGATGACGAGCCAACAATGTTATATTGATTCAAAGACGCGGTGGTACTCATGTCATGTCAATGTCTGGGTACTTATCGTTTCGAGCATATGGCTGATGGCCAGCGGATTCGCAGACAGATAATTTTCTTCAATGTATTTAGATTGAAAAGTGGTTCTGCTACAATAATAATTCAAAAAGTTTTAAAAGTACTGTGTATGATTTAATGTACCCAGGTAGATGTTCGCAGAACCGCGGAACCGTCAAGGACTAGCCCACATTTAAAGACTATAAATTACAAAAAGGAAGACTATTAAATATTGGCTGCGGTCTACTTTCTACGACTATAAATCAGTACTTATAAGGATTCATATATAATAATTATTATCAAATGGTACTTACCAGAAGGACATTCGCAAGTGTAGGTGTGCTTATCACCTGATCGACATCGTCCGCCATTGGCACAAGGACTAGGATCGCACGGTATATATTCGCTTTCGCAATTTTGACCGGTATAGCCTTCATTACAGGTACATCTGAAATAAAAATGGTACTATTAATATCATCCAGTCTTCGTATTAGCTTTCTATATAAATACAATTTCCTTTGTCTTTCGCAAAGCGGTACCATATAACAAAAGCCGATTACAGTGCCATAACACGGTACCACAGTCTAAGCGCCTGATTTATCCGCGAGTTTAAGGCATTAATTTAAGAGACTGTGATCTCATTATTCAAACGATTTGGTGTGCCTTGTACGTGTGTGTGTTGCATTGTTTCCCTTAATTGGTAGTACCTAGGTATTTGTGTGTATTATTTTGAGCAATAAAAAAACTCGACCAGTTGTTTTTATAGCTTTGACCCCCCCAGGAACTCATCATAACAAGTACCATTTCGTAAAACGATGGGAACTGTGTACGTTCTAAGGAAAAAAGTTACAATACAAAACTAAATCACCACATTCCGTGTATCTCTGGGTACCGGTGGTACCCCGAATAAACTTAGGTGATAATATCGCCGATATATACGGCTGTGTCACCGGATGGCGGAACACTCTGGGGCGCGCTACTATAGATGCGATCATTTGAATAGGTACTAAGTACAAATGATAAAATGTTAGACTGTAAATAGCGTCCGATTTCGAAAGTACCTCTTTAGTACCAGCAGAATGGTAAATGTAGAGATTTTTTAGGTACTACCCAGGTGCTGCGTTTTTCACGCCCAATTAATTTAGCTTCTGCATATGTCAAAAGTACTAAAGCGAGATTGTTTGGATTTTTTACGAGCAACTTTTCATTCGAACAATTCGTCTTGGCTATAGTGTTGCAACGATATCATCGATAAACTGCAGGTGCAACGATACCTACACTGCAAAATGTTACGTTTTTATATGGAATTGACACAGATTTAACAGGAATTTGAAAGAATTGGTGCAGTGAGTTGTTGTGGAGAGGAAGAGCTAGAATAACTCGAATTATCTAGAAATCTGTTAGAATTCCACCATTTTGATATGTGAAGAAAATTCAAAATTTAATAAATTTAATCAAGAGCTGCGAATAATGAGAGTTTGTCATTTTGTTGAAGATTATGTCAATGTCAATGGCGTTTATTGGAACAAATCTGATAATTCTCTACCTGCGGCCGCCATTTCGACATTGATTACGCATTAATTAGTAATTACCACCCCCAAAGATAACTAGAAATGTTTTTGCATTGAAATCAATTACCAATCAATTTTCTATTGCCCTGCGGCAAGGACGCTCTTGCCTACATTTTTCTCTCACCATGCACCCGGATCTAGATTAAAATGCAATCACATATAATTTATTATTGAATGAATTTTTTTTAAAATTTATATTTCATATTGGTCATTGGCAGTAATTAATGTCACCTTAAACAAATATGGACTTGTGGGTGGGAACATTATTACCTAATGAGTAAATTTTCTCTGGTATAATATATATTATAATATAATAATTATTATAATTACCAACGGAAAGACTTATAAAATAGATAAATTTAATCAAATAGCGGTTCAATGGTATAAGGCAAAAACTTCTCATACCATTAATTTCCTAAAAGGAAACTCATAAAATACTTATGTTTTTTTGCATGTTCGTATAGGTATAAGTATATCGAAACGGATTTCTAGATTTTTGTGTTTCCGAATCTAATTTATGGTCCATTAAGCAACTGAAAGGCAGGTTACTACTACCCGTTATGCTAATAATTATTATTGAAATCTATAATCTGTTCAATATTCACAACTATAGCTCAATTACCTTGTTGCCTTCACAAAATAAATTATTTCGGTGTCAGCGTACTGTACCGACTCAATTCCTCATAATGTTTACTTCTAATATTAAGACATGAGAAAATATTTGCTCAAAGAAGAGAAGCTCTTTGCTTTATTTGAAATTCTAATTTATGAAATTCAATGACCTTTTAATTTTGTGTGTAGGAGCATTAAAATCTCATTAGCGGGAATCGATTATTAAAAAATTAATTTCGACAGAGAGAGGACCCATCTTTCAAATAAAAACAACACAACTAATGGGTCTAATAATGGTAATTAGTTGTTTTACGCAACCGGTTGAAGATTTAAATAATTTAGATTTCGTGAATCGTGATGGGCCATTTTTCTCAGATGATTTGTAACACTATAATTCACTTTTAGCATAATAGTGACCTCATAGAGAATTTGTATGCCTTTCTTGTTTGAATTTTAGCTCTAATAAAGCTGTGGGTAAGAGATTTTCACAATTTCTCAATCTGAGAGGGGTCGAACAAGTTTCCTGACCCAACTTTACCTCTTAAATGGTCAAAAATCAATGGTTCTTTTCTTCGTCGTTCATATTTATATTTCCATAACACTGACAAAGACATAAAGCAATCGTTTTCATGAGAACATGGTTCCTTGGGTTCGTGCATAGACATCCAGAACAAATTTCAGTTTATACATAAGATCTATCTGTGTTAGGATATCTTTGATTATTGTCATTAAGACTTTGTTCGTATGCCATTTGGTCTCAAAAACGCCCCATCAACATTTCAGGTAGATAACGTTGTTTGTTGCATTTTAAAGAACGGTAAAACGATTACCCTATGGATTGGATTCGTCACAAATATCAAAAGTTGTGTAAACCACAATCTATAAGGAGGCAATTCCACCTATATGTGAATAATCAGAAACTCGGCCATTGATGACAATACACAGAGAGAATGATGGCATAGAGGGTAGAAAAAACTTGGCAGATATGTTTCAAGGGCTTCAAAATTTCCTCCTAAATGCGACTAGATCAATCGTTAAAGTCCTTGTTCGTTAACAACAACCTTAGACTGTTTCAATGTCAATATAATAGTGTTCTTGTGTGGCACAATCTAAGGTTATTGCTTGCTAACAAGGACTTAACTAAGGATTGATCTCTCCACTCTTAGATAATTAAATATATCTCAAAATAAAAATAAAAAATATCAAAAACTCCCACAAGAGCCGCTAATAATCAAAATTGGAAACTTCTCGACATTATTGACATGATGACTTTCGGGCCGGTATTTCAATGTAACCTTAAGGTACAAAGTAACCCACAGAACCCTGACCCTAATGCAATAGAGTTCCCTTGATTTACTGTGGATGTCAATCTTAGAGCTGAATTTCTAGTCGCTCCTTGAATCTTTCTTGGAGTCGTGAGTTTAAAATGAACACACACACACACACAACCAAATCATTTTAGCGGTCAGATTCCTTAGGTCTTTTCACGTGGCAACATACCGCTCAAATTCGAGTGGTATTGATGACGTCACTTTGTAACCGGGTTGAAAAACGGTATGTCATTTCTCTAACCAGCTCGGCGATATGGGTTACGTTTTACGGTTAGAACAACAAAAATAAAAAATTGGCAAACTACGGAGAGCGAGAAAATTGTGACAGGTTGAGACTAGAGGGTGCATGAACTTATAAATATTAACAGGTCGCTGGATTGCCTAATTTAAAATAAGATTTTTCTAACCGTTCGTTTTCAATGACGTCATCACTTGACATATCGCCACTAACCGTTTTGTAAACCGGTTAGTTTAAATCGGAGCCACGTGAAAAGGACTCTTGAGTGGTGGGGGACTATGACGTCACACTTGGCTGTCAAAGTTGTCAAATAACCACAGTATACATCGATAAATAATCATTCCAGGCTAAGAATCGCCTTATAATCACGAGACCGTAGGGCGAGTGTTTTATTGTATGTCATTTTCCATCGGTTTTTCTTTGGATTTCCACGGCCTTTTCAAACAGAGAAAGTGTGAAGCTTTGATGAAAAGTCGTTGGAAAAGCTGGATAAACATTCTGTTTGAGATTTCTAATTGTGGCAACGTCGCTTTCGATAAAGTAGGTCTCTTAATAAATATCATTTCCCACTTTTGACAGTCGGTTTTTATCCAGTTTTTCTTTGAATTTTCCACTTTTCCGGGGCCTTTCGATCGGGAAAACCGCCTTTAAAGTGTAGGGCTTTGAGTTTACATCATTTTCTGCCAAACATTTCCAGTTTTCAATGGGGTAAGTAACAAAAACTTTAGTTTTATCAAGTAGGCTTTGGAATGTCTTTTGATTGGGTTTTGCTTGGATTTTCCGTTTTTGCAGTTTTTTTTTTTAGTCAGGCAGTTTAGAGGGCAAGGCTTTAAGTTTGCGTCTTTTTCCATCACTTTTAGGCAAACCTAGCACTTAAACCTTATCTCTCTCTTTGTCTTACTCATTTATAATTGCATTTGCTGTTTTTGCAAATGTATTCTACCTTATCTGTTTCTTTATCTTGCTATAATTACTGTTTCTGCCAAAAATACAATCAAACTAACATTTAAAATGAAAATTTGTTACTTTTTCAGGATGAAGTATTGTCGGAAAATGAGGAAAAACATTTAGTTTGAGACTGCAACTGTGGCAACATCACTTTCAATCAAGTAAGCCTTGTCATTTGCCACTTTTGACAGTCGGCTATTTTGATTATTTTTATCTAGTTTTTCCTCAAATTTTCCACTTTTCCGAGATCTTTCGATCGGGAAAACCGCTTTAAAGTCCAAGACTTTGAGTTTACATCATTTTCTGCCAAAAATTTCCAGTTTTCGATGGGGTAAGTAACAAAAACTTTAGTTTTATCAAGTAAGCTTTGGAATCTCATTTTGATTGGGTTTTCCTTTGATTTTCCGTTTTTCCAGTTTTTTTTTTAGTCAGAGATGGACGGTTTAGAGGGCAAGGCAAAACTTGCGTCTTTTTCCACCACTTTTAGGCAAACCTAGCACTTATATATTCATTTATAATTTCATATGCTGTTTTTGCAAATGTATTCCACCTTATCTGTTTCCTTGTCTTGCTATAATTACTGTTTCTGCCAAAAATACAATCAAATTAACATTTAAAATGAAAATGTGTTACTTTTTCAGGATGAAGTATTGTCGGAAAATGAGGAAAAACATTTAGTTTGAGACTGCAACTGTGGCAACATCGCCTTCAATCAAGTAAGCCTTGTCATTTGCCACTTTTGACAGTC